TACGGTACTCTACGGTACTCTACGGTACTCTACGGTACTCTACGGTACTCTACGGTACTCTACGGGACTCTACGGGACTCTACGGGACACTACTGGGGGCAAAAAACAGTGAAAGCTAACATACGAAACCAGAGGGCAGCACACGATGCGATCGCGCGACCCTGCCCGTGAGCATCTCCCAACTCATCTCTGTAATCCACTACCTCTCAACAATTTTCGATTTGTAAGTTATGTTATTAAAAAAATGTTACTAGATCGGAAGTGCTAGTGATCTCGTGGTTTCATATAGCGAATACGTAATTTTGCGCATAAACCCACGTGAGATGAAAGTGCGAGAAGTGAGCGCCTTGGCAAAAATACGTAATAAACGCCCAGACTTTACTACCACAGCGACTCTGGTGACCAAAAGTTACATGAAAATCTTCAACAAAAATTGATCGCCCTTCATCACAGAAATTTTATTTGTGGTAGCAGTTTTTACACATTATCTGTGTTATTAACCACTGAGGATTTCCTTTTTTTCCAAAACGTTCGGCACTGATTTTTACATTTAGTAGTTCGCGTACACCGACGTATTTAATAGAACACATCAAAATTTAATAATTTTGACAGAACAATATTTCATTGTCAGGTTCAAATGTGACATTTTATGCCTTTGCACAAAATTACTTTGAGAGTTTGATAAAATGACTACATTGTTATTGCATTTAGGAAAGGTCTCGAGTAAACGGTAAGAAATATTCTTGTAAAGATAATTAAGTTTTATGTAATCTTTCATATGGTGAAAGTGATTATCATTAAGGATGCTTTATAGAATTTTTGCAACTACGCAATGGCAAGACATACGATGGCAATTCGAAAGCTCAATGAGGCAAATCAGGCACTTCCGCAGATTAAGAGACTCTCCAAAACTCGTTCAAAAGTCATTCTCAAATGTACATCAGGATAAAGGAAGTTCACAATCAACAAACCTTTTGAAACCATTTTGTTTTACTGTTTTGGTAAGTTGTTTTCCCTATTATTTATTGTTATCAGTTAATCAAATAATTGTCATAACAGTTTACTGGTGCAACTTTTGTCGGTGCAACCATTTGGGAATATGAACGCATACGACAGAAGGCTCAGTCTGCTAAAGTCTACCGGCAATTTCATACTCTCGTAAGTTGACAATTGGTAACAAAACTATGATATAAATTAACTTTATTTAATTGTGTTCTTTGTGAACATAGCGAACTGGATGGAGAAAGGACATGGAAAACTGGTGGAATGATTTATATGAAGGTCAAAAAGTATTTGCAGCAATTTGCTTTATCAATGTCCTTGTTTTCCTATGCTGGAGGGTCCCAGCTTTTCAAGGCACAATGGTCCAATACTTTTCCTCACATCCTCATGCTAGTAAGTGATGTATTTTTACCAAAAGTAATTATATTTTTGTTTTTAAATAAATAAAATACTTTTTCGAGATTATATTAACCTTTAGTGCTCTGTTGGCTTCACAACAGAGACATCCATCATAACATTCCAAAACTTCCCGAGAGCTAAGGATTAAAAGTATTTTTTTTAAATAAGATCGATGATTTTGCTTTTAGTTGGTATGACTTTATATTTTGTTCTACATATTAGATTTTTATTTCATCTAAGGAGCAACATGTTGGCCCATGTTACTATCCTCATTTTCACATTACTCCATACTACATTTGGCTGCAAACATGTACGTATTACATAGCTTCAGTGCTAGCTGTGTAACAGCACTTGGAAAGGAACAATTTGTGGCATTATATCTGTCCAGTGGAGTTATATCTGGTTTCGTTAGTCATCTGTACAAGGCTTCCTTGGGTTTACGCGGTGCATCATTGGGAGCAGTAAGTTTAACAAAAAATTATCCTGAATTTTATTTACAAATAAGTTGTATGCTTTGGTTAAATTAAGTAAGAATATAAAAAAAATTATTGAAAAAAATAGTATATTATATGAATTTAAAATTTAGTTGTAAAACCGTTCTTCAATTTGCTTCTATATTTTTTTGTAGTCTGGAGCGATCATGGGAATCCTTGGTTTTGTCTGCACTCAATACCCTCATATTCAACTTAGTATTGTGTTTTTACCTACATACCCCTTTCCTGCGGGGGTGGTACGTATACTACTAATGCGAGATTCTATTCTAAAAAACAAAAACAACTAGATACTGAATCTTGATTTCCTTAGGGTATAAAAGCACTCATGATTGCTGATTCCGTGGGCTGTCTATTACGGTGGCAATACTTTGATCACGCTGCACACTTGGGAGGTGTATTCTGGGGAATGTAAGTACAATCATATGTTTGCTATGTGATAACTTATCTTAGGTGTAGAGAAAAAGCAAATTGATCAAATGCCTATTTTTTCCATATTGCAGATTTTGGCAAAAATGGGGCAATGCGAACATTTGGCAGAAACGTGATCCAATTTTAACATTTTGGCACAACTTCCGAAATTCACGTTAACCTTCGATCAATAATATCTGTTACTTTGATACATTACATGTTTTACAGTACATGATATTGCACAGCAAAGTATTGATCATTTATCGTTCATATAAACATGTATGTACATATCCGCAGAATGACGCACAAAAGTGCTGGCGCTTATAATATTATGTACATACGTTGCAGATTGTATACTGTGTATACTAAAACAAAAGGAGATGTTTGATAAAATCACAAAAATTTAACATGAAATCAAGTAATCTATGGAATTTGTATACATTACTGCATTCGTGCAAATATGTGTATGGATATTTATATATTTTGTACCTTCGGATAAAGATTTGACAATTTGGCGTATAAAGGAAAAATATATAGAAATATTGATGAGACTGATGAAGTTAGTTCAACTGTAATAAAGAATAAGCAAAAAGGTAGTAATAATAATTTAGCAATACGTTAGCGACGTTAATTACGCAAAGTGGAAAGTCATCCAGAAAAACATTTTTATTTAAAATCTCATATATATCATGGAATGTACACTGAAAAGAGCACAAGTTGAGTTTTAATTATGAACATAAGTCAAATAAATGAATGCTACTGGTTTAGACATTCATGGCATTAATGGATGAAGCAAAATTCTGACACATGCCTAGCTTTTTAGGTATTTTGCATGGTGTATAATGTGATCTTCAATGAAGGTTGATATAAAGAAGTAACTGTGATCATATCCATCTTGATTTCTTAATACTAAAGTTAATCCAGCATCTTTTGTGGCAGCTAATAAATTTTCAGGTAGGAGCTGTCCTTGTTTTAAAAAATTGTCTTCCGTGCCCTAAAACAAATGTTTTTTGTTTCAAAGTTAAACACAAATCTAAAATCTAATCAACTTCTATGTTAAATACAATGATATAAGTTTTATTTTTAGAATTAACTTGGCTTAGTAAATAAGAAATAACCTGATCGACTAAAATATCTAACGGTGGGCCTTTGTATTGTTTTACAAGTTCTGTAGCATCCCAGTTTTTCCACTCAGACTCCGCTGTTTTTTCACCAAAATACCCTGAAAAAGCTTTTTTACCCCATGGACATTTAATTGGATTGCTAATTGGTGCAAAAGCTGAAACTGTCTTATATTGACCAGGATTCTTCAATGCAGATATTAATGCACCGTGACCTCCCATGCTACAAAATAATTACATGTTAGAACAATTATTTTAATGCTACTTTATGAAACATTTAGATTTTATGTTTACCTGTGACCCATTATAGACTGATTTCCAGGAATGGTTGGAAAATTTTGATTAATCAATGTTGGTAATTCTTTCGTAATGTATGAAAACATTTTATAATTGGTCTTCCAAGGCTCCGCAGTAGCATTGACATAGAAACCTGCACCAGTTCCAAAATCCCAACTGTCTTCCTCACCAGGAATTTCAAGTCCTCGGGGACTTGTATCAGGTGCAACAAGGATCACTCCATGTTCGGCGGCATACTTTTGAGCACCAGCTTTTTGAATGAAATTTGCTTCGGTGCACGTTAAACCTGATAGCCAATAAATAACAGGCACTGGTTCTTCTTTTGTTTGCGGTGGCAAATAGATACCAAAATTCATCTTGCATCCTAATGTCAAGCTGTTCAGACAGTATGCAAAAGAAAAAGGTATGTATATGTAAATTAATTAATTCTTCTATAAACTTTCACTATTAGTAAATACAAAATTCATATTTGTTTAAATTTCACGATGTTCTTTTTCTAAAGTTACATAAATAGTAGAACCTGTAGTGGAATAAATAAACGTTTATCACTATCTTGTAATTATAGGTTAACAATGGTCCTAGGTAAAAATTCATACCTATCGTGTGAGTACACTTTCTGCCATCCTCCGAAACTTTTGTTAGCAGAAATTTCCTGAATTTCTGACATCTAAAAATTATATAAAAAGATAAGTATTACAAAGAATTAGCAGAAATTCTGCCAGTTAGGTTATGTTCAATAACGTACCTTGTATTCGTGAGTGTCGTGAGATTAGAGTGATGTCGAGGTACATATATATTTAACTGCTACGTTAACTTGAAATTCGCAAAATGTATTACCATTTGAGCACAGGATATGAGTTCACGTAACTACTTGAAATCTACTAGTGAATAATACATATTCCATTTGTTAATAAATGATTACAAATTATAAAGTACATTGTAGGTTCATTACGCATTAGTTCATAATATAAGTCATATGTTGAAAGTATAAAACCAGAAGATTTCAAAATTATTTATATTACAACGTGTAAATCACTCAAATCTATTTATCAGTTAAACATTTTCTAAAAAAAAAGTCACCGACAACGTCCATATTGGCTCGCAATTATAATTCATGCAGATATTTTCGAGATTATTTCGACTATATATTCCCAATATAAAAATGTTTGTTAATGATTATTATATTATGATGGTCGCTACCTCAACCCGTCCTTTAGAATATTTTTCTAACGAATACGAGGAAAATTTTACGGTTAATTTGTATAATTATAAATTTATGAATTTTGTAGTAGTATACATACGAAATGACTTTTCATTTTTCGGATAATATACTAACAGCCTAATTTGAATATCGTGTCCCTTTTAAAACGTATATTTAATAATTACCATAATCGTACTCGACAGAATTTGTTAAAGACACTCTCTATTGCTTCTTACCAGAACTGCGCTTATCACGCTGTGACTTATCGCTGACCTTCACGGATCGTTCGACAGTGGTTACAGATTTCCTGGATGATCCGCTGACATTTACATCTGAAGTGATAAAGGTACTGGTGAATATAATTAAATGGAAGAATTTATAAAAATCGTGAAAATAAGGGTAAATTATAAGTTTAGGAAGCTACTTAACATTATTACAATTACTTAATAATGACCGAAGTTGAGATTAAATTGGAGGTTCATTATGTTGAATGTTTTGCATCCATATAATAGTATGATATAATGTACCTCCGAAACAAGGTGAAATTCGGAGCACATGTGCAACACATTGCAAATTAGTGTCGCTTAATTTCCCTGTAAAAGTCTTCGAACTTGTAATGGTGTCATTTCTGCTTGGCGGTACAGACACGGAGGATGACGACCGTGAAGATGATGAGTGTAAGGACTGCATTGATGATGTCAAAGACATCAAATGAGTCGTACATGGTAGAACCATGTTTTTGGTGGCAAGTAAATTTTTCACGTAAGCTTCTGCTTCCACGTGACGAACGGTAAATTCGGTGATGTGCTGAAGTGCCAATCCGTTTTGTTCTTGAAGTTCCCTTGCCGCGATGTCTCCCTAAAATCAAAGTAAGGTAATGTACACAGTGTAATAATGTTTGAAATATGACAAATAATAATACAACTACCTCTTGAAGCAGAACAATCTTATCTTCCGTACAGGCACACATACGTTGAATTTCCTTGAAGACCTTACGGAGACATTTGTCGGCTCTCAAGATTTTTTGCATTTGCTCTGTGATCTGACGCTCTATGTTAGCCAGGTGTCTTTGCTTACGATCTTTTTCCTCCTTAGCACTGGCTATATCATTTATGCTTTGTAGATAATTCTCCTGCATCGTCTACGGGTCCACCATGACGATTAAATTTAATTGCCCGAGGGAAAAATAATATACCTAGTTTTAATGATTGCCTTTTAACAAATCACTGGCATGACTCTTTTGTTGCAGGCTTCCAGAAGTAACGGGACGCAATACTTTTTACGTACATTTGGCCGATATCATTAAACCTACCTTTAAATCGGCTTTTGCTTGTATTAACTGCGCTTCTACGTTAGCATTTCTCTCGATAGCTTCCAACAATTTCAAATCGAGTTTCGCGCGTTCTTCTTGTTCCGGATCGACCTCATCCATTGCACCCATATTTGCCTTGTAATTTTCATTACAGGCGTTTACGATTCTCAAGGTGTTTTCCATACTCTGAATTTCGCGCTCAGTTTTTCGGATAGTCTCGTCCAGTTTATCGCCTTGCTCCTGAAGTAAGTATCTTTCTTGGGCGCATTGAATCTTCAAGTAGGTCACCGTTAATGGGGTACCATCTTCCGTATTACCCATGGCTGCAATGTTGAGGTCATATCGGGCTTGAAGTTGACATATCCTAGCATTCCTCTCGCTGATAACTAATCGCAATTCTGAACACTCGTTTGAAGACATCCTCTTACGGATATTAAGCGATTCCTTCTGAGCTTTGATTTCTGCCCTTCTCTCTTGCATTGCCTAACACAATTCCAAGGTGAAACGATCGCTCAAATTTACGAGGAATTAATTATTAGTTAAAAGCACTTACGGCTTCCAAATGAATTCTATACTTTTCCAAATTGTACACCTCGCCCCCAACATTCGACGTCGCCAATTCGGCTTGTGAGAGTTTTAGTCTGAGAATGTTTTCCTCGACTTGTTTTTCTTCGTTACTGGATTTTAAGAATTTCAATTGTTTCTCCCCGCCGTCCATCATGAGAGTGAGATCTTGTTTTCTATTTTTCAGGCGTTGCAACTCAACGCGATCGTTTGCTAAACTAACCGATATTTTTCGCATATCGTGCTGAAAACGAGAAAGTAACAGTTCTAGGTGAATTTTGTCATTATTTGATAAATAACTACTCACTTGTGAGAAAGTAAAAACGATACGTTACCAATAGAAATTCTATTGATGTAAGAACGAATAAATTAGTCCACTCACTTCCAAGTTTGTAATTTGAGCCTGTAATAGCTTCGCAATTTCTGTCTTTTCATTGAAAACATTTCGCAGGTCGTCAAAGGCTTTTTGCTTCTTGTCAGTTTCTGTCTTATCGCAATCCTGACCGGTCAGGCGCGCCAGGCGCGCTTCGCATTGTTGAATTTCAAAATCGAAACGATATATTTCCTCTTTCTTATCTTTCAATCGCTTTTCTTCCTTAAGATGAAAAGCTGCCAAAACGTTCACCTTCTTGTGTTCGGCTTGATTTCGTATCTCCAATGCCTTTCTTTCACTTTCCAGTTCATTCTCGCGATTTGTGGCTCGCAAATTTAATCCTTCAATTCTGCTCGTTTCTTTCATGATCAAATGTTTTCGCCTTTCTTCTCTCTACGAAGTAACCAATTTTATTACTGCATTCACACAATCAATTGCGATTAATTCTTAAGGGATAACATAAAAACATTTACTAACACCGAGAGATTAAATAAAAGAATTCGGTGGGAATTAGAAATGACAAAGAAATCATGGTTTCTTAATGTTACCTGAAGCATGTCTTCAAATTGTTTCTCTCTTTCTGCGATGCTTAATTGCTGACTGCTAATTTCTTCGAAGGTTTTCCTGAGATCATTGTTTTGTTTTCGCAATTCTTCTACCTTCAAGAATTTACTTTCAATGTCGAATCTTTTTTTCTTGGTTTTCACGCGCATACTCTGCGCTCGGCGCGAAAGGTCCTCCAAATATTTCTTTTGAGTTCCATACTATCGGAATAAACAACGCATATAGTAAATTATTAGCTTAAAAATTCAGTAGAATTCCGCGACAAATACATTAGAGCGAAAAACTAATAACATCCGCGGAAGGGTCAGGATCTGTTGATTCAATAACCGTTTTTAATTTATAAAATCATGTTAATTTTGCACCCTTAATAAGAGTAAATTCCTGGAACATTAAATACTTTATCCGTTACCTCGTTTCGATACACTCCAATGGTATCGAGAAGCCCGCGATATTCGTCTTTCACCATTGCATGTTTTTTTTCCAGTTGTCTGATTAACTCTTCGAGTTGTTTATTGTCTGCCACTTGATGCTCAAAGAATTGCACAGCTTCATTATACGCGTCTACTTTTTCTCTTCCGATCTCCTTTAAAGTGTCTATTTCCTGTAATTAGTGTATTCATTAGATATGTATTACAAAAAAAACTTGATTAAACGCTACAAGCATACAATTTTCATTTTTAAAAACATTAGATGGAAAGGACGAATGCATTTCCTTTAAACGCGTATGTGGATATAAAATACATGGAAATATTATTACACTTACCCTGACTGCATCTTGAATACCATTATCTCTCTGACGAAGGACCAATACACTCTGCGACCACTGATCGATTAATCGCCGTCGTTCCGACAGAGCATCGACATATGCCTTCGCAGTTCTGTCAAGGAAAATCTCCATTTCGTGGACATCATCGAAGGTAGAAAAAACGGTTCCCCTAAGTTCCTTCAACTCCACCTCAAGTTTCTGCCGCTTAAGCTCCAGTTCCTGAAAGCACCGACTAGATGAATAAATTATGAGACATATCACGCGGTAAATCTAAGCCCAGCTCGAGACTGCAACTTTTCCTGATACCGGCACGTAAATTAATGAATCACAGAGTTACACCAAGCAACATCGTAACGTCTGCATAAATGTTAGCGCGATTACCTTGAATTTTTTCTCGTCGAGTTTCGCGTATCTGTTAATCAGCTGGTTACGTTCATCCTCCCGTTGCAGGATTTCTTCCCACCTCAGTAGACGATCCTTTTCAAACTCCGCGGTGGTCTTTGAAGCCTTTAGCTTGGCTGACAATTTCGTGATTTCGCTCTCGACGAGGGAAATCCTTTCGACGAGGTCCTTCTTTTCCTTCTGGAGTTGACGAGCCGATTGGCGAACATTTGAACGCGTGTTCTCGGCTAGTCGATACAGGTGTTCTTCGGCATCCAGCTGACCCGAATGAGCCGTAAGGAGTTTCTGATTGAGCCCGTGTTCAAGGGCCACGAGATTCAAGTGCTTCGCGATCTTGGTGACGCGACCCTCCAACTTTTCCAACTCATTGCTCAACGAGGACTTGTGTTCGGTTTTTCTCTCGATCTGAAATCACAGGAAGGATTAACTATCGAAAAATATAGGTATCCTGGAACGAGTATTCTTGCCGAAAGGCACTCAAATAGGGGCAATGATTCACATGGGCAGTTAATGATGTCTGCCGAATGTACCCGGATCTACTAGAAGCCCCATTGAAACCTTTCATTGAATAGGCCACGTGCGCTATTCGGAACGTTAACAGTTCCTCACCACGGATCACCCCTATTATAATTTGTAATAACGCCGAGTATACGGTACCGGCCGCAATCATTTTCACGTCATTTCGAATTTATTAATTTTTCCTTTTTTTTTTTTCTCTCGCCAATGTTTTTAACTGGACATTCATAGAGCCAAACCTACCTCCAACTGAAGCCGTCTGTTTTCTTCGTTCGCAACTGGAATTCGAAATCCATCGCCCCATCCTAACTTTTCCAACACTTCTTCGACGGTCGATACGTGGGTCTCCATGTTTTTTATTCCAATGGACTTTTTCAGGAACCCCACGCGTTCTCTTTCTACTTCGCCTAACCCTGCAGTTAATGGATTTCATTAATTCAAAGCGTTTAATCGTAGGCGCGGAATGTACGATACCTTTTATTTTGCCGCTCCTCGGTTCAGTTTATTTCGTCTGCTGATATTACTGACGTTTATTTAGCTAATATAAGGGTTAACTAAGATAAATTGAATTTGATTTTTACCGAGCTTCGGTTTAACTCTTCTTCACCCTTTGCAGTAAACATGGTAGCGCCTTCGCCGAGTAGAACGAGTAGAAAACGAATCAGGGGCAACGCTTGCACGGGACAAGAAACAAGACGTTTCCATGGTGATCTAATATCATGGTAAGGCAGTACTGTGTCATTCTTTAATGAAATGACAGTAATTACTTTCGAAAAACGGCTACGTTAATTTAAAGTACATCTAAAAAGTGTACTGGTCCATTCGCTATTATAGACAAGAAAACCCTAGAATTAAAATAGAAACGTTACTCCTACCCTTGGGGTACGAGGATCGAGAGCATCGCTATTGACAATTCGAGTAAGTTTGGATAACGATAAAAATTTGTAACGTCAGTGTTAATACTCAAGACGTTAATAAATAATGTCTGATATGGATATCATAATTTTATTACTCTACATACCGCAAAATCCCTGGTAAATGTTCTTAAGAGTCATAGCCGATAGTTAATCTTCACATTCTCTGGAAGTAACATGGAAGTTTTGTTTTCCACAAATGCTATTACTTTCGTTTCGTTTTCCATTGCTCGTAATTCTAGGAGGCGAATAACCCTTCCGCGAGTCATTGATCGACATCGAAGCTTCGAAATGGGAATACCGCTGTCGGTGAAGCGTGTCACATGATCGCTGACAGGCCGCTAGATGGCAGCGGAAGGCACCGTCACTTGTTAAGTAAGTTCAAAAGCGATGAAACATTATACAAGATCTTGCCACTAAATAGAAATTCAACATTAAACACGGAAGCCTATTGGCCCAATCCAACCTCATAAAATTAAACGATCTCCGAGATAAACCGTCTATTCGGGTAAAGTAACCGGGATAGTTCTCGAAATTTCGAGAAATTTCGAGAAATTTCCTCGAACCTCTGTTACCCACTTTACGTATCGCAATTTGATAGCACACACGACCAGGCAGCCAGCTCACCCGCGAGAACACACCGTGTAAAAATAATTGCTCCCTCGAAAAATCCAAAGAAAATAAAATCGATAAAGCCGATAAAAAGCAAGGAATAATTTACCGTCAATTGCCAAAGCCTCCCACTGGAAGTCCCCTTATTTCAGAGTTTAATCGGCAGGCGACTGCGGTCTGTATCTATATTCCGACCGCAGGCTCAAGTTCTCTCGAGTTTTGAGATTCTCTCTCGCTTCCTGGTGGCCTTTAGGGATCTCGGTGTAAAGAATGTCACACAGCAACGAAAGGGCTTAACCGCGGAGGTTAATATATTTTTTTTAATTAAACCTTCCAAATGAATTCCTCCTCCCGTTAAGTGGCGCCGGTCCGAAAAGCCAAGCCAATATAGACCGAAAGGGACGAGACAGAAAATGAACGGAGCCCAGAGAAAGAAGGAATTCCCCACCTTGAATGCAGTACACGGATTGCCGGCGAGTGTTAAGGTGAAGTGAAACACGTCGAGGAACTTGATCAACGTCGATAAAGAAGATTTTTCTAAATGCCTACGTTGCCGACGGTCGTTTTTATATTGANAGGACAATTCTTAGATGATCAGAAGTGACGTGTCAAAGTTTCGGACAGTTTGGTCTAATACCCTTAAAAAAAGGTGTTGTATTCGAATCGACTGATTTGAAGGGGGTTTCTCTTCACCTTAACGAGAGTTCAGCCAAGTTCAGGGAAGTTCAGGCAAGTGCAGGGAAGTGCAGGGAAGTGCAGGCAAGGTGCGTCACCCCCGGGGCGACCGCCCCTATTTTTCCGCCTCAATAAATACTGTACAAAAAGCGGCTCGATACGCTTCGAACGGTCTATTATACCTGCGAGTTCCGGAATGCCTCGGGAGCGGACGTACACCTTTGGGCTCCCCGATCGAGCGTTTCCCCGCTGAGCGATATTTAACCACCGCGAAGGGCCTCATAGGATTTTTCTTATAATCCCGGATAAGGACCAAAGTGGCTCCCGAAATGACGAGCGCGCATCCCGCACCTGTGATTCGACCCCGACGAGCCCCTGGGCCGATCGATCGCGACCGGGCTCCGAACATTCACGTTTTGCGTACTTAAGGTGAAGTGAAACACGTCGAGGAACTTGATCAACGTCGATAAAGAAGATTTTTCTAAATGCCTACGTTGCCGACGGTCGTTTTTATATTGACAGCTGGGTCGAATTATATTGGGTATTGTACCAAATGACACATTCCACATGTCGTTTTCGTGTAATAATTATAAAGAAATCGAAGTAAAACTCCAGAAATCCTCTGGATTCATGATTTCTGGGGCCCTAATTGACTGCAGTGGTACCCCCTGCGCCATCTGTGATTTCCAGGTCAATTAAATT